TTGCGACCACCTGTTACTTAAATAAGCACATAATTGAAAAGTTAAAAAGCTTATAAAATTTTAGCCTACAACAATGCCATTTTAAGTACTGCACACGCTTGTATATGTACACACTCGTATATCGCCTGTTTTAATTGAACCAATTAAAATTGCGAAATGATTTTGTTGTTTAATTGCAGAGGGCAAAGCCATGGCCACCGCCTATGATTGCAAATTCATTGAAACCTCTGTGGGCATAAATCACAATGTCGATGAGCTGTTGGTGGGTTTGTTGTCGCAGATACGTTTGAAATTGGAAAATCCGGAAAAATCAAGGTGAGTGAATGAGTGCAGCTCGACGATAAATATGTAAATGAATAAAACGAAATTGCCACACTTTTGCATAATTCAATACAAGGCACGTACAAACACATACCTACATACATACACACATGTGGCCCAAATCAATTTTAATTACATTGCCAAAGCCAAAGGTGACTGAAATAGTAATGAAAACAATAAAGGTCGATTGCAGCAACAGACCAACAGATTGCGCCCCAAAGTGCAATGAGCACAAATGCCCGACCGGCGAGTAAGCAAGCAAAAACAAAACTGCACACACACTAACAAACAACAACACTGGTGCATTAGCAAAAATTGAAAACGAAAAACGAAAATAAGCTAAAAAGCAAATGGCAGAATCATGACAACAATTAAGCCGATTGAACAGCCGTATGGCAATAGTCGCAACGCCTGAACGATTCATTGATTGCGCGCCCAGAAGGCGGCATGAATTACCCACACGTTCAACGATGTGGCATTCAACATAAACAACAAATAGCAAGCACTTCCTTGTTGGTATTTCGCTATCTACAAATGTTGCTGCCGCTAAAAGCATTGTTGCTTTCACTTTGATTGTTTTGCTTCTAAGCAAAGCTGCTTGGTATTTTTTTTTATTGTGCTGTCACTTTGCTGCTTCAATTCTACGTTTTACCCATTCATTCACTTTCATTACAGTGTTGTACAAACATACCTACTTATTTACTGTTTCTATTCTTTTTCGCCTTCTTTGCAGGGATCTATTCCGTAAACGTTCGATTCGTAAGTCTAAGCGTCGCGCCTGCTCACCACTCAGCGGCGCCTGCCTAACCGGCGGCACTAACCCCAACTCACCGCTGGGACCAATGAATAATGTCATTTCCGATGCCAATACACCGCCCGGCAGTGCACAAAGCAGGTGAGTGAGAGATATGTCAAAAGATATGTTGAATACTTCGACATATAGTTATATGTAAGTTAAAATATTAGGGAGGTTCTTTTTGTGTAAAAACTATTTTTTCGCAATTTTTGAAACACAAACGTAGAAACAGATGTAAAGATTTTCAGTCTTGAGGTTTAGTATTGTAATTTATTTTGTTTTAAATATATCGCACTGAGGTTAAGTTTTTTAGATATGTGGAGAGTTATGGTGAGTTAGCACTTTTCTTATGAATACCCCAAATGACTATAGAGAGTTTTCACTCTCTGCATCTCTCCGTAAAAACTTTAGGAAGCTAACAAAAGTTTTCGCCCTAAAGTTTTTTCTAAAACTTTGAGTAAAATGAACGCCAAAAAAGTAATAAGGCCTGCCTCTGTAAAAATGTAATTGAAATTTGATCATTTCCATGGTTTTGGAACGAGTTTAGGTTAGTCTCGATTGTAGTTGCTGCTTTCATCCTGGAGTCAGATACACCACATTTCTCTAACACTGGAATCATCTCAATAATAGCTACATATCAAATGATTCCTTATCGGAAAGATATCTATCCTAATAGGGGCTTCAAGGCCGATCTTTTTTATGGACCTTACCAGCTCAAAACAGTTTTTCCACGGGGTTTGTAAAACCTGCACACTAAGAACTATTTTACTTTTATGAATACGGTTATTAGGGCTTTATATTAAAATAATATACATTTTATGAAGCATTCAACGCCTTTAGGTTGGTCCGATCTCATTCCTTGAACTCCCAGAGAAATAAAATTTAAACATCTTTTCGATGTAACAACTTCTCCCAGTAACTATTATTTTTCTTCAATATTAAAATACAACTCAGCAAATACAAATGCTCATTGGATAATTGATGTACATTAGACTGCATCACCAAAAAAAAATCACGGTTTTCCGCAGGGTTTACAAAACTTATTATATTTGAAGACGTCCACCAAAGTATTTCGGAAAAATATTAAGATTTACGTCAGCTGGACCGATTAGAAAATACCTCCAAAAATGGAGCTTTTTATGAATAAAAATAGTTTCTCAAAGAACTTTTTTGAACAAAATCCCACTCAGATGCCAAACAGTTTAAGCTTAAAAGTCTGCATAAAAACATTTCAAAAAAATTTTGAACAAAATCACAGAAATGGGAATTTTGATGTTATTTTTTAACTTTTTTCAAAGATGGGTTTTTTTTATTCATAAAAAGCTCCATTTTTGAAAGTCCAGCTCACATAGATTTTAATATTTTTCCAAAATATTTTGGTGCAAGTCTTAAAATATACATACCTAACAGATTTTATAATTCCAATGGGAACACAGTACCGTTTTTTTCTTTTTTTGGAGTGATGCAGTCTAATGTACATATCTGAATGCTATGCCGAATTTCCACTAGGCATTGAAATGACAAAAAATTGGAGGCATTTTAGAAATGCCTTTTGAAAATGAATTTAATTACTATTTTTTTAACGTAATGACTCAAATATTTTTAATGCCCAACTTTGTCATTAAAATGTTTGCCATTTAATGCCAAGTGGAAATCCAGCATTAGGCGTATGCGTATTTATGTTTTTCCTACAATCACCAATTTCTACACATACTACGTACAAACATAAAACTAATAACAGCTTGCATATCTCTTCCATCTCTTCCAGCCCCCGCAAATATCGTGGCTCTCGCACATCGACCAGCCTAAAAGTTAAGGGTCTTTTGGGACGTGTCTGGGCACGAGACTCCAAGTCGAAGAGTTGCGAAAATCTACATGTGCTGTAAGCAGTTAGCAGCTGTATTTAAGCTTACAGCCAACTTACTCGCTGTTCAACGTGTGAAAGCTGCATATTTGTTTTGAATGCGTGTGAATAGAGAACTACATACATACATATGTACATGAAGTGTAAGGAAAACATTCGTGTCGAGAAAAACGTTGGAATAAACTAACCAAAGAAAAATATTTGCCATATTTATAAGCTGTTCTCACATAAAGAACTGCGTACTATAAGAATTTAAGTGAAATGTGTGTGAAATATGGAAATGGTATGCGACTAAAAATACGAGTATAAAGAATGTAAGAGAAAATGTTTCATTTTTATTCTGTAAATAGTAGTATTGTGTTTTTTTGTATCTAAATTAAGTAAAAATTTCATCTATCATTGTATTACACACATATGTTTATATTTCTTCATCAGTAGTATTTTAAAAAAAAAATAGCAGTTGTAACGGAAAATTAATTACTTCCATACACAAAAAATATTTACATGTCTATATGTTCGCGATCATACACGCGCACTTTAAATGAAATATTTTTATTTTATTTTTCATTATTTATAATTATTTATAAAAATATATTTTCTATTCGTAAGTTGACTGTATAATTGTGTAATGAAAAAATATATATTATTTTATTGGAAACCCAAATTTGTGTTCAGTTCTTTATTTATTATCATTAATTAATTTTTTTTCAACTTTTTATTTCATACAGAAGTTTTCTCCTTTTGTCCTTTTTTTTATTGAAACGGTGTCATTTAAACGGAATAGGCGCAGACGCCAGAAGCTGGCTTGGTGTGGTTTTGTATGACATTCAACCAAAGGATAACCCAAAAATTGGACAGTTTAATAAAATACGTAGATAATTAAGTACCATATCCGTCAAAATTTTTAGGCGAATAATTTTTTAGAATTTCGTACCAAGTTTTATAAATGTCTTGCATTTCCTAGGACATGTAATTTTTGTAGAGTAAGAAATAGAAAATTTGCAATAAAAATTTCAATAGTAAGGACGATTATAAATGTAATAAATAGTACTCGTAGTTAGTACCAAATAAGTGCTAATACATTTTTATCAGATCTATGTGAAATGGAGTTGGGTTACCAAGTTTTTATTTGCACAAATGTGGTGCAAAATATTTAAATCTCAACCCATGGATTTTCGTATCTTTCGACACATGCAAGGCATTAAAACAGAGTTAAGGGTCCTAACTCTCCGAAAAAGCGAAGTTTTCAGCCATCCCGTTTAGAGAACAACGACAGTTCTTTACGATTTTGAAGTTGGTCTGATTCAGCCCACCCTAATGTTCAAACTGACTTCGAAAAGCATGCGACTCAGTAACTCATCACTGTTGCTTTAGTTCAGTAATAGTACATACAAGCAAAATATTGAAGAAATTAATTATTTGTCATAGCTCAATTATGCCACCTCACTCAGATGACACATTCAAAGGAGCTTGAGTTATAGGATCGACTTGTAAAAATTCTCACTGGGGTACCGCGCATATGTCTGAAATTAAGATATTACTGTTATTTCTGCCTGAATAAGTAGTACTGCAAAGGTCTGGTAGAGGGTACAACCTAGTTAAGCTCAGCTTTTTTGACTGGACACTACAAGCGCCGATCCTATTCTTCATCGCAGCGCAAAATAAAAAAATACACGACTTCCTATTTTCGATATACTCAAATTCTGGGGGTGGCTGGAAAAAAATTGTCCCACCCTAGTGTACATACATATCTACAGTGACTGAAAAAAGTAACCAGGTGTTGATTTTTTTTACATATTCGTAATATTTTTCGACTAACAAATTATATGCAAACCCAGATATGTTCAAAAAGTTCAGATTTAAAAGTTCAAATTTTTGATGAAAATTTGTTCAAGCTTGGACCATATTTTTATATAAAAATAATAACAACAAAATAAACTCGAAAAAGGAATATTTAAAATAAATCAACACCTGGTCACTTGTTTGAGTCACTGTATGTTTATTCTGCAGTGAATTTTAATAAAACCAGTTGCATTTTGTAGCAAAACAATTCGCCTTGGTTGAAGAAAATGTGTTTAAAAAATGCATTATCGTCAAAAAAAAAATAAATAAATCCGAAAGCTTCATAACTAGTACACCCGGTACAATGTACACACCAGCTTCCTGTTCAGACATCTCCATTTCTATTATTTTCTATAGGGTTTTTTGCACCTGGGCACTCTTAAGTATATTTGGGTATTGTAAAAGAAATGTGTTCGAAAACGAAGGCCCGAAGCTTGATTAATGCACACGCAAGCTACAGGGTGTCCATAAAATTTTTAATCATTTTTTAAAATGTAAGTAATTTGAAAATAATAAACATAGCTACTAATACATTCATATATGTATATACAATAATAAAATAATTTATTTTGAAGACAAATTAATTAATTTCTACATTTCATAAATTTTAATTGTTTGCTTACACTCAATATCCTCTAGTTGCAATTTTCAGAAGAGTAGAATTTACTATTTGATTGCAAAATCAACGTCAGATGATGAGTGTTAAATCCCAGTTGGGTTCTAAAATCAGAAATTAATTTTTGTGAATATTGCGGATAGAGAATATTCAATATAGCTACTGCTGTATTCCTGAAAATGAGGCAAATAAATCCCTTAACAGATGCGCACATCTCTGGCATCCCTGTTTTTTTTTTGTTTTTTGAATTTGTTTTAGGTGCTGGCCGTATAATAAGCACGGATTCAAATAGGCGAGCATATGGCAGCGATGGCCAAAATAAATCCTCGATATAGCCTTCCCTGGTACGAAATGTATGACATATATAAAGTCGGTAGCTTTTAACACTGTACTTGCTTCAGATTGCGAACAACACCAAAAAGGAACTGGAGACAGGTATACTGAAAAGAGATTATCAATAAATACTTAATTCCACCAATGTCCCTATTACCAAAAAAAAAGGAATGACAACTTAACTAGACCCACCTTGGCCAGGACAGAAATTGAGATCTGAGAAGAGACGATAAGTAGATATAAATTTAGTAATCACAGCTACTAGTAGGTCTATTAACTCTCGACAAAAGGCCTAATTGGAAGTCCCATCTCTCGAATATTACCAACAATGCTACAGGGCATTTTATGTCTATCAGAAACTACTTGATAAAATTTGGGGTAAATCACCCATGGTATTTGAATACGCTTATAAAATTCGTTCTTACAAAAGCTGAAAAAGTAAGAGGGGTCCCCCCTTAAGCAAGCTGCACCGACTGGTCGGCGTGGCCATCACAGGCGCTGTGCGCATCTGTCCTTGTTGTCATGACATTCATACCTCCCCTGTCCATTCTGATTGAAAAATAGGCCTGTGGAAGCGTCCTACGTTTGCCCAATGCAATCAGCATGAAAAGTGCAGATCGTCTACAGACTTAGAATTTCTAAAGTGGGTTGCTGTACAGCGATAATATCTACGATTGACGGAGGATCCAAATTATGGTATACCGACGGATCGAAGATAGACGACGGGAGTACTGCGGCAGGCATACTTGGACCAATATTCCAGAAAAGTCTGCCAATAGGCACATATCCAACTATATTTCAGATGGAAGTCGTAGCAACCGAAGTGTGTGTTCGAGATTGTATTCTTTCAAAAATTTATTTTTGATTCAGCAATGCTGCTAGAGTATATAGATTCATTTATGCATAAAAAAATAAAAATTTTGAAAAAGTGTCACTTTCGATTTGGTTCGCTTGGCGGTTATGGCTCGGTATGTCGGATCTTTAGGCAACGTTAAAAGCCTTATACTCATTTTACACTACAAAAATTCTCTTCCACCATCTGGGAGCCCACGATAGAGTAAGGCTGTGGTGGCTCCCGGGACATTAAGGGCTTGAAGGTAACGAAGGAGTTGTATGGGAGAGTCTTAGGCCACTTAATGACTATCTTGAATAAAATGACTTTTTTTTGTAGGAATGCAGGGTTTGTGTCGTAATAATAACAATAATAGTTTTCACTCTGTCAGTTCTCTCGAAACAAGTTGCCAGTGATGGAAAAATCTTGAAACTAATCAATTTATTTTAGTATTATGATTTTAGTTTCTCATTCATTTAAATAACTCAATGAAAAAAATATATAAAATATTAAATTGCTTTAAACATAAATATAGCGAAAAATTACATAGAATTTAGGATCACAGTTCCAAAATCGGTAGTATTGGAGAAAGTTTTAAACATCGTGCATTTTTTGTACACTTACAAGGCGAAATTATTAAAAAGTATTTACAAGAAAATATAAGTATAACATTTTTTTTTTTAATTTTTTTTTTAATAGTAAGTGATTATTAAGTAACGCCCATGCCTGTCCGTCCCGGATAACGTTTGTATGGTTTCTGGGTAGCAATTTTGTGTAAAAAAAATTAAATTTTTAAATTTATAAACCACCACTTACTTTAATATTAAATTTCTAGGATTTTAAATTTAGTAAAAGAAAATTATACATTTAAGTAAAAAAAATTGGCATTGACTTTATAAACATGTATAATAAAACTCGATTTTTCTGTAGAACAAATAAGAAACTGAAAAGTAGCGAAAAAGCGAATACGAATATTTTGTACGAGCTTCATGATTAAAAATTAATGTAGTATGTATAGAAATACATAGTAACAAAATCAAAAATCCATTTCGCACATAATTCCGGTGTAAAACTCTAAATGTTTTCGAAAAAATATGTATAATTGTACTTGTGAACAAAAATTATAATATTTGAGTAACGATAGTCGTAAATGAAAATTTTTGTACCCACTAGCCCGGCCCACAATGTTGGACATAACTAAATAGCAAACCATTTGATTATCGTATATGCATTTGTATATTTGTGTACTAAAATTAATAAATAAATATGTATACATACAAACATATTTCAAAAAAAAACAAAAAAAAAATATTGAATATAATCAAATATGCTGCACAATGGAATTTAAAAAATCAAACGATCGATTATGTCAAGATTATGATGGCACTGAAATCGACCAATTTGAATTATCGAAAAACAATTCACCGACAGCCGGCTGGTTGGCTTTAGTGTCACACGAATTGCATAATCGATTCGTTGGAAGAAAATGTTCCTCAAAATGGGGGATCAACAATTAAAATCGGTAGTAAAATTCGACGTATTTTTTTCATGTATTCATGTATGTGTCCAATTAAATCGTAAATGGGAGATTAAAAAAAAAAAAATAAAAATAAAATAAAAAAAATTTACTCATAATTTTGTTGATATTTTCATTAAAAAAAATGCCATACATTGGTGAAAAAATCCAAAAATTACCAGCGATAAAACATAAAATTCACTTACAAAAAATATTTAAAAATATATAAAAAATAATAATAATAAAAATTATATGTACACATAAATATGTATAATTGTCGTTCCAGATATATAATGTTTTTCGACTAAAAATGTGTACTGAAGAGAAGCTTGAAATTAATCAAGGCATATATAAGATTTAGTAAATGATTAACAACAAACTCGCATATTTACATTAGGGTGTATCACCAAAAAACAAGTTGCGTTATTCCACCGGAATTATAAAATTTATTATGCTTTAAGACTTCCGCCAAAATATTTCGGAAAAATATTAATATCCACGTCAGCAAGACCGTTTCGAAAGTACTTCCAAAAATCTTAATGTTTTTTTCCGTTGATAAAATTTTTCAACATTGACCTTTTAAGCTTAAACTTGTCTATCTTCTGAGGTGATTTTTTTTAGAAAATATATTTTTAAGAGTAAATAATTTTAATTATAAAATCTCACGTCAAACTTAATATTTTTCCGAAATATTTTTGCGGAAGTCTTAAGATATTACAAACTTGATGTATATTTCCGCTGGAAAACAGTACCGTGTAATAGTAGTTTTGAAAAATGAGTAAAGCGCATAACGGTGTATCGAATTTGTAGATATGTATTACTGGTGTTGGTAGACAAAAGTCGATATGTAATCACAGTGTAACAGTTTTTGCAGTTCAATAAAAACGTTTACTTTTGTTGAGTAGAACTAGCGAGCAGAGTGTAGTTGAGAGGGCTTATAAGAAATTGAAAATATAACTGAAATGCATATTTCGAAAAGCAACCACATAATTACATACATATGTACATTATTTTTTCTAAGTCAAATCGTAAAATAAACTTATAAACTTAATAAAATGTGCACTTCTTTTTATTTATTAATTTTTTGTTAAAGGTAAGTTAATTAAGAAACAAATAACAGTGTACCGTTGTCATTATAGACAATGCTTTTGATTTTGTTAACGTCGTCAAGGCTTCATGATTTCCTGGGGAGAGAAAGAGTAGAGAAGGGGAAAACCCTCGCTCTGTATTGCACTCATTATCTGCCCGATTACTTTACTTACTGGAGCCGATGGTATGCTGGCCTAAGGCCAAGGCCACGCATTGGCCGGCAAAGCGTTCAGCAACTTAAAATTAAAAAATATGAAATACTATTGAAGTGGCCCTGCAATGAGCGGCATTTCCAGAAGTTGAGCGGCGCCGCTCAGTAATAAAAGCCACTCACCGCAAATTGCGTGGGCTCGGCCTAAGAGGGTCTGCAAAGCCAGCATCAGCATGACCTATATTTCGCAAAGCTGGAAAAGAGGCAAAGTGTCTTTCATTGTCAAACCGAGAGGTGTGAGTTTGCGCCAGTTATACAGCCCGGGGGCAGACAGGTCTTTCTGCATTTTGTCTTTCCATTGTATTCGTGGGCGCCCTTTCCTCCGTTGGCCACCCATGAGTGCCGCGATGGACGATCTTTTCACCGGAGCCTCGCCATCCATGCGTTCAACATGCGAATGCCAGCACAATCGGTACAGTTTTATTCGCTCAACCATATCCACGTCGTTAAAAAGCGCATGCAGCTCGGCATTCCACGCCTTTTTGCAAAGTATTCATTCCATATCTCAAGTGTACTCCGGACGTCTGATACCATATATTACATCGTCACGTCATGTCTCACATGCATCCTGATAAAGACACTGGAAAGACTGTTACGCATGTATATCAGATACCTTTTCTAAGTTCCAAGGTATCACATTAATTATATTTAGGTCAGGTCGAACGAAACCGTCCTACATTAGAAAGTCAATCTATTACAAGCAGTACACTCACGCACACCGGCTATAGAAACATTTCCGTCGCGAGGGGACTGGCGAAGGCTGGAGAATCTCTTGATGAATCCGAGGTCGAGACAATAAACTGTGCAGACGAAGTCATGAAGAGGGAAATGTTCTTGTGATTCGCACGAATGTCTGAGTCACGATGGAACAACATACTCGTAAAACCCTTCAAAAGTGCAAGGAGCACAGAATTATATAGCGAACCAGTCTAGATAGAGCTCCTCCAATCTTAAAAGACATATCCAGACTAATACCCTGGCAAAAATCCTAATTGGGCCTAAGCCCTTCGTGCAAATGCAAGCTATTTGAGGCCAGTAGTGCGATTCCCGTTTTTCTTAACGACAATATTCGTATCGTTAGCTAACGATTCCGACAAGTTTCGTTAACTGCAATTCTCAAGCACGCTTTTAGCGAATATTGTCGGTAGATTTGTCGATAACCTAGCTAAGAATATTTTGTCGTTGAAAAGCCGACCGATAAAATTGTTTCAAGTTTTTATTGAGAAAAATTAGGCCAAATTCATCGGTAAGTAAACTATTATAATAAAAAATAACTAATAAACAAAAATTTATCACATATAGATGTGCTTTTTATTATTGTTCTTTTTATTTATTACACTGTGCAAGTTGAAAACATTGGCAAAGGTTTTGAAAGTTGATCCCACTTAATTGGGGCATTCTAAATTTTGTCAGATTGGCTCCAGTTTTCGAGATAACGATACTTGAACATTTGCTTCAATTTTAACTACGCCAACATGGCTCAACTGTCAAATGACACACAAATTTCCCACCCGATTCGCATTTCATCCCTAAAAATCCCAAAACAAATAAGTGGAAACAAAAAAACTTATCACCCTGTACTTGCGTAGTGTTTTCCAATGATTCCCGGTAGTGCATTCCAATGAAAAAATTCCAGCAAGTTTGACATTTGTTTGACAGATCAATTTTAAGAGAGAAAAAGATTATAGTTGGAAAAATTTTGCAATTATATTTTAAAAGTTAAGCAAACGCTTATTAAAGTGGCTTTAACAATAGTTTAAGAAAAAGAAGGCAAAGTTGCGCGTAAAATTGTTTTCTTGCACCACACCCACAAAGCAGAGGCGAATAGAACATGGTAAGTGCGCAGCGTTGGCCACAGCAGCTCCACTTTTAGACGAAAAAAGATTACAAAAATTGCAAAAAAATAAACATAAAAGCGGCAAACAATTGTGGCAATTGCGTAAATTGGGGAAAAATAACAAGAGTGCCTGAGCTGTACCGGTAGAGGTGGTGATAAGCAAGGGCTGCTGCTCCGAAGTCTGCACACCCACCACCCGCGCCAAGTGACTCGCCTTAAAAATTTTAATGACGTTGCATGACCATTTTCGACAATTTAATTGAATACCAATTTTGATTATTGATTTCCCACTGAGAGGTCATAAATATCGTAGCAAACACCACAAACGCCATAATCGGACTATATTTACCACAACATTTACAAAAACAAAATAAACTCGCACATAAAACCTTTATTAAGACAATTGTACTACCACCACAACTGCAATCACGGCGGTCGGCATGTATCCATGGAATTCAACATCTTACAGCCCAAGTGGCGGTGGCGGTGTCAGTAGCGAACGCCGCATGGTAATTGATCCAAATACAATAACACATACACTCACATTATAAAAATACTGCCACTTATCGGCTAACTGGTATACACCCACTTTCAGCAAAAACTCATTCATCTCCTGGTACCTTCCCGTCTTAATCCACATGCTCATATTGTGCGCTAGTAGTGTATAATGTGTCTTACACCTAACACTTGTGTACTTTTGTCTCTGCGCTAAATTGCAATGTTATCTATGAACAATTCAATCACATTGTACTTTTTTACGCTAGTTTGTGTCTGTGTCTAACGTTTCTCAAGCTGCCAATGATGTTAACTTGATTGTCATTAATAAATTCTAAGGGAAGCATCTGCCAGTTGACGGCACAATGCCTTTTATATTGTATCCTTTGCTGCAACGTATGCAAATCTTATGTGATGATAATAATAGTTACTTCTCTGATTATAAAATGCCTAGTGTAATTTCTTAACTATACTTGCAAACATTTAGATCACAGCAAACGTTTTAAACTGTCAAACTTTAACTGAAATCATTGCCATTTTCATTCCGAATGATCAGGCTTAATTTAACCAATAATGATCAACTTTATCTCGCTATTGTTATTGTTTAACTGAATATATGCAAATGTAGATGTGAAAATATATGTGTACTACATGTGCATACGTTCTTATCAGCGTCTACTCTTTTTAATAGCGTACACCCACTAGATTGTAAAATTAAATTAAAATCATATTCCAATGAACTCCTCGCTAGAGCACTAGAACAGCTTATTTGTCATTGCTTGGCTTTTAGAAAGACGTGACTCGGTCTGCATTTTTCATACTGTTAAATTTGTTAATGCTCGATCAAAAGTGCATAACGATTAAGATCTGAAATATTACACCTCCATGTTCTTAGTAACACAAGGGAGCACCTTACTAACCGAAAATAAAATCATGGAATCGCCAAGCAATAAAAATTTAAATACATAATTTCATTCAGCTCATCAAAACTTATTTTTAGGTGGCTTTTGGAAATGTTTCCATCGTTATTTTAACAATACCTGCTCAACTTCCATAAGTTAAAATTTTCGTTTTAAAAATTAATCTCCTGATTCTTATAAATCTACCTTCCCAATGCGCTTATCATTGACTTGGTGTGGCTGGCAATTCATATTTCTGTGTACGTTTGTAAAGTTTTGTGTGCATTCAAAAGTATTCGCTCATACACTCACATGCATATGTACGTAGTATTGTAGTTGTGGCTTCGGAAAAAAATTCATAAGAACATTTCCATTGTTGTTTTTACAATTGTGCTAATTGGTGTTGCTATTCTACTCATCGCCGCTGTTAAATTGCACTTCTAATATGGGTTATACATCTGATATTTAGAAAAATATATGTATGTTTCTACATGTATACAATCATATCTTAAAGCTTGCTCGAGTATCTGTAAATTCGGATGTATGTGTTTAACGGGCATTTATTGAAAGTAATTTTTCGCGCGATATACATATGAATTATGTATGTCGATCGGTTGTTGTTGGCTATTTCTCAATTGATGCCAAGACGCAAATAATGATTGGAATGAAATTGCATCTACGCTAAACAATGTAGAGTATGCCAACTCGACCTGCGCTTTTTTAAAACCATTTATGCTCGCATCATATGTATTAATGTATAATATTTATTTTATTTCATATTTTCATTTTCTGCGAAAATCTGCAGACTATGCCGAGTGGTCTAGACGATCAGGAGAAGCTTTTGGCCGAAGCTATAGGCACAGCGAAAAAACAGGCATTCCAAATGAATCACTTCCTCGACAAGGATCGCATATTGGATGCGCTTAAATGTGCTAGCACAATGCTGAGCGAGCTGCGCACCTCCATGCTCTCGCCGAAGAGTTACTATGAGTTATGTAAGTTAGTTGTACTGGTTTCTACATTGTCACTGAATTTCTCATACGAAGTGTTTCCTTTTTTCAAAACCTCAGATATGGCCATCACCGATGAGCTTTGCCACCTGGAATTATATTTGAGCGAAAAAGCCAACAAAGATACGGATTATTATGAACTTGTGCAGTATTCGCATACAATTGTGCCACGTCTATATCTGCTCATTACCGTCGGTATTGTGTACATCAAAAAAGATTCCACGCTTAAGCGTAGTATACTCAAAGACTTGGTAGAGATGTGCCGTGGTGTGCAACATCCACTACGTGGGCTCTTCCTACGCAATTATTTGCTGCAGTGCACGCGCAACATATTGCCTGATGTGCTTGTGGCAGAAAACGAACATCATGGCAATGTATTGGATGCCATCGATTTCGTCTTGACGAACTTTGGAGAGATGAATAAATTATGGGTGCGTATGCAGCATCAGGGCCACTCTAGCGAAAAGTCACGGCGCGAGAAAGAACGTGAAGAGCTAAAGATTTTGGTGGGCACGAACCTGGTACGTCTTTCGCAACTCGAATCTGCCACGTTGGAACACTACCAGCGCTATATATTGCCTGGTATATTGGAGCAGGTGGTTAGTTGTCGTGATGCTATTGCACAGGAGTACCTAATGGAGTGTATTATACAAGTGTTTCCCGATGAATTCCATCTGCAAACCTTAGATCCGTTCCTAAAGTCGTGTGCCCAACTGGAAACTGGTGTAAACGTAAAGAATATAATAATTTCTTTGATCGACCGCTTGGCGGCCTACAATCAGAGGAGTGGCAAGGTTTGCAAAACCATCTTTTATACATTTAAGCATACAATGATAGGAAATATTTTATTTTCGCAGACAAGCGGGACTGACATTGAGTCCATTATACCGCCTGAAGTGCAGTTATTTGAAGTGTTCAGCATTCAAGTGGCAAATATTGTGCAGGTGCGTAAACGATAAATTGTTCATAAATTGTTTTTCCGAACATATCGACCCTGCGCAAAATTATCGTACGTTACATTTTCTTACGAAATTCACTTTTTGATGCAATTTTGTTTTACAACCCATATCGCATCACCTGTCCTTTTATTACGGCTTAAATCCCAATAGCTACCCGAAAAATTTACTGCAAATTTTCTCCTATGTGACAATACATTTTTTTATGGGTGAAATTATCATATGTGCTAAGAAATTAGAATTTAGAGATCTTTCTGCAAAAAAATCTGCGTCTAGTTATATTTCCCAATTATCTCTGCAAATCTGAACTTTTGTATTGATGATGCTAGCCAGAGCAGAGAAAAATCCAAAAAACCCTTTCCTGTAAAATTTGGTTTTTGTAACATACGATAATTATGCTTGAAAGACTCTTCTGGAATTATATTTTTAGACTCGCACCGATATGCCACTGGAAGACACGATATCTCTGCAGATTGCGCTGCTAAGTCTCGCGCAAAAAGTTTACCCAGATCGCGTTGATTACGTGGATAAAGTGCTTGGCACCACGACACAAATCTTGGAGAGCCTAGAAATGAATAAGTAAGTAAATTTAATTTTTAACTGTAGACTAAGATATTCAAAGTGTACCTTGAAAGGTGCAATAGAAATGCCTCGAAACTTATTCTCAAAATATCCCCTGGTGTCGTCCGAGTTATATTGGAAAACCTCTTACTATCAGCTCCTTTTGCCTTTGAAGCTATACTTTGAATTGTAAAGTAAGCGTTATTGTTATAGCATCTAACCATGGAACATCTTCTTTATTATTTCAAGCATTTCTCATTTCCTGTCGGTAAATCAAGAATTATCGCGTCTCCTGCGCATTTGCATCGATTTCTACAACAATGCACTGACTGTTATACAACTAAAGAACTTCACGCCACTACTAGACAAGTTCGACTATGTTTCACGAAAATCAGTGGCCCTCTATTTGGTTATGAATGTGCTTGAATTTGAAACTCTCATACCAACAGCTGAACAAACTGAACATGTACTGACCATAATCACACCGCTAATCAAAGACGAGGAAGTGCCCATTGGTCCGGATGGCAAACCAGTTCCCCAACCAGTCAATGGTAATAACTTCGATCCCGAAGAATTCGCCGAGGAGCAAGGCATTGTTGCGCGGTAAATTTGGTTGACCTTTTCTTGCATGCACACAGCTAGTTAACTTTATGTTGTTTTGCAGTTTCATCCACTATATAAAGTCCGATGAACCCGACATGCAGTATAAAATTCTACAATCCGCACGCAAGCATCTGGGCGCCGGTGGCCCACAACGCATCAAGCATGTTCTACCGCCACTCATCTTTTCTGCCTACCAATTGGCCTATAAATATAAGGCAATCGCTGAGGAGGATGAAAACTGGGATAAGAAGTGCCAGAAAATATTACAATACTGCCACAGCACAATTGCGGCGATAGCCAAAGCCGACTTGGCCGATCTGGCGTTGCGTTTGTACCTACAAGGTGCGCTGGTTATTGGTGAAATAGGTTACTCAAATCACGAAACAGTGGCTTATGAATTTATGACGCAAGCATTCTCACTGTACGAGGATGAAATCTCTGATTCAAAGGCACAGTTGGCAGCAATTATGCTTATCATGTCCACATTCGAACAAATGGCATGCTTTAGTGAAGAGAACGCTGAGCCTTTGCGCACAAATTGTGCGCTTGCAGCCTCTAAACTATTGAAGAAGCCCGATCAGTGTCGTGGTGTGGTGGCGTGCGCTGCGCTCTTCTGGAGTGGCAAGTAAGTTCAGTCCAGACAGTTGCTTTTTCTATTTTAAATAACTGGTTATTTACATCTTTTATAGGAAAAATGGTGAGGAGATGCGTGATGAGAAACGCACGCTGGAGTGTTTGAAGAAGGGCGCACGTATAATTGCGCATGTAAGTAACAAGTAATACATTTACGTGCAGTAGAAATTTCTATGACCTGTTTCCCTTTAGTGCTTGGACGTTGGTGTACAAGTGCAGCTATATGTCGAATTGTTGAATCACTATCTCTTTTATTTCGAACGTGGTAATTCCCTGATTACTGTGGCAATGTTAAATCAGGTGCGTATGCCTCATAATATTTTCTAAAGAATGGCAAATTTTTAATTACCAAAAATTGTTTCAGCTTATCGCCAAAATCAACGAGGACTTACCAAATCTGGAGTCCACCGAGGAGACTAAACAAATCGAAATGCATTACAAAAACACATTAGCGCATATTAAAAGCCGCATGGAATCGAACGATGCGGGCTTGGAGGTTTCATTCGCCGGCATTTCCATAAATTAGTAAATGTAATGTGTCATTACTTAAAGCGCATATAGTTTTTGTACAGCGTGCGTTCTCAGTATGGTTTTTATTTGAATTATCTCTATATACCGTTTGCATTGTATGAATGATAGCAGTATGTAATTGAAGCGCCAGCAGTATGAACTTCCTTTTGAGTTTTAAAACACAAAACGCTTCCCTATTTTATTATCTGCTTAAGTTGTAACTACAGTGCTATTTTTTTCACTTCTGCACTTAATTTTTTGTTGCATATTTTACAAAAAAGCATAAAAAGCTAAAAATGGTATTCAGTTGTTCAAAGTGATTATATATATGACAGCTTCTATTATGTGTTTAGCGAATTAAAATTATATCGAAATTCCATTTATTGTAAATCGATTGGAAGACTATTATAAATATTGTATTGATTAAATTGTTAATCACTTGATTATTGCTAAAATTATGCCCATTTATTTCCAATTTCTTTACATATTTATGCCCATACTTACGATTATTATGTAGGCGATAAAGCTTGTTACTTGCTTAGCTTCTCCAAATCGGAATTATACTTCAATTGCTGCAATTTTTAGTTGCTTAAAACAACAACACATTCTCGATAACAAATTTTTTATTTAGTATTACTACACATATAAAAACAAACATATTACAAAAGAACAAAGTAAGCAATGGACATAAAAATTATGAACGCTGGAAAATATCCTAAATATTCGAAAGCAAAGCAACAATACTTTTCGGGTAGTAAGCGCTTAGAAAGTGTGCTGAAAGCATGCAGGAGCTACCGAATATGTCAAGATGACTTAAAAACTAGAAAACACTGATTATGATAAATTCTTAATAATGAATAAATAAACATTGAGATAACAGAGTTTTAGAAAAAAAAAACATAAAATTGTTTTATTTTGCTTTGGGAAGGAGTTTTTAGGTACTCAAAAAATAAAGTATGTTAACAGAGAAGAAGCACCCGTATGAACCGAATTCTTTATTGCTGCGCCAATTAAGTCATACATATCAGCAGCCTTTAGAAACGGACTTTTCATTGCCTATGTATGTATGTATGAGTGTTTTAAATGTCAAAGTATATCTATTTTTTACGAATGTGTCTTTTTTCAGTGTAACCAATCAATAAGCAGGAATGCAACAGGTGTCGGCCGCAGTCAACTTCAGCATACCAGGCGAATAGCACTGAATGGTAGGCTGCATGCTTCCGTATTACCATATCCATAAGGGTTGAGTTTTTAATCCAAGCTGGATATTGCAAATACTCGGGTCGGAGTATTTTAACCTAAGTTTCATAAAAGTGGATACATAGTTTCCTACATTTTAAATGTCATCTCCCGCGAACGCCTTCGCAGAATGAGATAATAAAATAATAAATATCATGTCGGAGGGTTAGGCAGAACTAAAACCAATATACTCATTTACTCCTATTAGCCATGGGGGCTTCGATTATAACAAAACGGTTGACACTCTTGCCAAATTTGTGATCCAATTGAATCTTTATGGTCCACAACTTTTTTTGGTCCATCGTGAAAATATACTTCAGAGCTTCGAACAGTGGCGAAGGAGAAAGAGGAAGGAGCTATGCGAGATATTCTCAACAAGCACTTTCTGCAGAGACGGACAGCCGGTTCTGTAGGCACGTGGATCTATACATGTATTCCGTGATTGCCCCCAGTTTCCTAATAAGATAAGTTTTTATATTTTTTTTTAATTTATTTAATTTCAAGGGTCAACCAAACCACATTCCATTTGGAAACTGAATGGGCATACAACAATAAAAAAAAAAAACATTTTCTATGGCTTATTAAAAGAGTTCTTTATTCGTACATAATAAATACTCGTCGCTTCTTTATTATTAACAAAGTAATTACAATTAAATATTAGCATTAATATTCACTTAAAACTGTAGCTTTTCATTTACAATGAGTACGTTTATACATAAATACGAAACACACATAACGTGCGCAGCTTTTTAAATAAATTTTACAACTAGCCTAAATATTAGATATGTATTTATTATATAAATTGCAGAATTGTTAAATTATTCATTAAAAAATTATATATAGTAAATTTCAAAAATAGCTAGTAATTTTAACTGAGAATGGCTGACTTAAACTTTTTTTTTGGAATTAACATAAAAATTACTTAGTACACATAAATATAATTAAACAATTACATACATAATTCTTTAAACTACATAAATATTTCGCAGTAATTGGCAGTAGACGTTTACCACTTTTTCTATATGTATGGGTGCTTGTTGCTTTCTACGCATTTATGCAGTGTTCGGTTGCTATAATTTTTGGTCTCAGGAGAGTTACCAGGCAGTTTAATTATAATATAATATTGAAAAAAAAAGAAATAATTTGACGATGAACATAAAACACAAATTGTTGTAAGGCCAATAAATAATAAAAAATAAAAATAAATAAATAAATAAAGATAAAAAAAATTAAAAAGTGAAGAAAGGACTGAAAGGGGAAATTTAATTTAAAAAATATCTTAAAGTTATTAAAATTACTTAAGCGAAATTATAAGCAAGCAGTCAAGTATAAAAAGTACAAATAAAAACCGTAAAACAAAAATACTAAATTCAATTAAAAGTGTTATGGTGCAACATGAGAAGTTTTTTTTTTTAATAGAAATTCGTGTATAAGGCACAAAGAAGCAATAAACCTACTTGCAATCACAAAAAATCTTGCATTTGTTTAGTTTACTTACAGCTAGAGAAATATAGAATACCGTTAGAGTTTTTATCTTATGCCTAAAACATACGCCGAAGCGCAAACAATTTCTTCACATTCAATACCACTTTCTTTTAAAGATTTCTTAAACTCTTTTGCAGCTATGTGGTTTACAAATATTTCAACTGGAAAAGTATACGAGATTTCTTTTTTGCTCACGCCTTACATCGAGCTCTTCGCATTTCAGTCCTTGCTGGTCCTGAAGTAATTGTAGACATTGGGCCAGGCGGCTAAGACATAATCCTCAATGCCGCATTCGTTGTCACCGCGCGCAATGCGGAAATAGCCATGTTCACCCCACCAGGGACCCCAGGAGTTGGCGGCAACCTGTTAAGAGAATAACGATCAGAATTAGAATCAGTTCAGTCATATTTTTCGCAATCTCTTCATCCGAACACACACCCAGTACTTGACGCCATCGTGCTCCTCACCCCAACCGACTAGTTTCACCGAGTGGAAACCAGTCGGACTGCTGCGACTGGCGGCGGTGTGCCGGTACACACCACCCGAGTAGGCAAAGAAATCGCGGTAGATGCGCATTGTGGCCTGCACCGGGCCGGAATGGAAGATCTCCGCCATTATATCGGTTTCGTTATTCAGCGAGTAAGCCGGACCTGTAGTGTAAAATTCATCGCGGTCGGAGATGGATGACGGACGGCAGCCGTAGGAGCTGAGTAAACGACGGCCACCATGACGAACTTTGCACGTCTCGCGGCGTCCCGTGTAAGGATAGCATTTCTCCTCTAAAACACTACAGGAGGAATGAATTTCTTAATTAGCGCATACTTTTTACTAAAATAGTATTACCAACTTACCCCTGCTTGTGGAGATAACGCCACGCAGCGTCCAAATGACCGCCATTGCAACCCTGCTGTTTGCGTGTACACGACAAAATATTCTGTGGCGATAGTTGCACAACTTCCTTGCCCTGCGATTGTATGGCAAAGCGATCTGAGGCAACCGATGTGGTGGATAGCACCCAAGATGAGCCGCACCAACCTACAAAAATTTAGCATAGAAAGTTAATGTAACAGTAACGCTACCATCTCTATTCTCTTATTCACCCACCTTGATCTGGCACATCATTTATGAGGCTCGCCCATCGATCCACGGCGTTGAATTGACGTGGCAAGGCGCCTGCTTTATTGGTCAATCGTGTCATTGCTTTGACGCGGAATGTTGGTTCCTTGGTACCCAAACGTAATGTTAGGCCCTCCGAGTATTTGTGCCCCCACCACTCGTCATATTTGCGTGCCGACCAACCTAATTGCCGTATGGAGTTCACATTGTTAACCAAATTGTCATCGGTGAGGCAAACATCACGATCGCACTCCACTACACCGCCTTCGAGACAACGACACTCATTACAGTTGTCGGTGGTGGTGTTGTATTTGTTAAAGTAGATGCCATTGTGTAGGCATCGGATTATCGGATCCGGCGCATTCAGGCAGAACGAACGGTAATCGGGACAGCAGTCAGAGGATTGATCGCGGTCACAGAATTCATCACAATAGCAGAGTGTGGCTGTGGGTGGAAAATAAGTACATATTGACAAGTTAGATGTGCCATTTTTATACACATATACATAAATACATATGTACATTGAAAAAAAAACATCAATTTTATAAATCGGTTTAAACAAATAACTAACGAGCTCCAGGAATACGCACTATCCGCTATGAGTGCTTTAAAAACAGGAACAAGGCCCTTGCCCAAGGGTTAATTAATAAGTTTATTAACTCGTTGTCTTGTAAACCTCTGACCGGAATCAAACGAACTCTTAATACAGAGACAAACACCCCTTCTTCTTTTTAAAATAGAGCTAATAATGGAAACTTCGAGAACTGGTCACGGACGTACCTACATATGTATGCCAGGAATATACAGTCTAATTTTCGGGAGACAGCATCTTCGGTAATAGCTTTGAATATGGTCCGAAGCTTTGAATGTGGTCCGAAGGGGTCATCTTGGACGTTAGAAAATATTAAAAGAGAAGCACGTAGAGTACACTGTCAATGGTGTATAGAAGACCATGACCGTTCAACTCCAATATCCTACGGTGTATTGGACCATAAGCCAACAGCAACATTTGGAGCGGTAACCTGGTCTCGAAGGTCGGACTTCAGCACAATGAGAGGATCCCTGACCAGGCTTCAGTGGCCAGCGCGCATCTGTATAATAGGTAAGGAAGTTATCCTCTACGTAGCGCCACTACACAAAGTCAATCAGAGAACAGACTGCAAAGAATTATCTTTTAAACTTAATGGAAGAGGACACGTGTAAAGGTAGAGTGCTCTTAAGCAGAGGGAGGTTAGGGGTGAGGGGAAATAAAAGCAAATATTACTATTTCCTAGATCAATAGTGATGACATGGTCTGTAACCAGACCATTCCAAAAAGTACCCATCGCGCCCACACCACAAGAGCGGTACGCAGTTTTTTAAAACCCGGCGAAAATATAGGAGTCCTAAGGACATGATCTCCATAATCATGGAAAAAACTAAGTGGAGATTTGCGCGCTCAGTTAACATTGGAAGAACTCACATGGGCTACCACAGGCCATAGAACTTACAGGAAGTTATAACTCGAAGAAATTTAAGAAGCTAATCACTCTCCCAAAGATTAGCTGCCGGCATATAGCAGGCACTAGAGATTCATTGCAGCATATGAGCCCATATGGATGCCACAGGATTCAGCTCAGACGACTTTTCTCAGAAACGCCATTTCATCTAGTTCTAGAAAAAGACGCGGGGCTATAAGAAAGAAAAAATGAATGGTGCTAAGTACGCTAAGTGGCTTTTCATAATTTATTTAGGGATACACGAGGTCTTTTAATGAGTTATGACATAATAGATGT